CAATCGGACGATTTTGTTCAATGAACCAGATTTTTTTTCTACACGATACGCGTGTAATGTTATGTGTACCCACGTGACATTACGCACGTGGCATTAAACTCTTATACGCGAATGTACGTGAATGTACATGAATGAGATACGCGCGTATGTACTGTATATCAAATTGTTCAAAAAAAGAAAATGGCCGATGCGGACTTCTGTGAACCTCGAGTGGTACTAAGTCGACATTGCCACTAGTAGTACCACTCGAGGTTCACAGAAGCCCACGTCGATCTTTTTATACCAAATTTTTTACCCTCCTTGCACATGTCCTAATCACGCTTCTTCGCGCTCGGCTTGATGCTAGATACAATTTAGAACATGCACGAGTTATTCCTCAACAATGTCAGGGCTCAGAGAAGCACGATAACCGAGTTTAATAGCAAATTTTTTCGATCGTCTTTCTAATTAGAGAATATAAGAGCACCGGAGCAAAAATAAGCGGCGTTTTCGAGACGTTTCACCGTTTTTCACTTCTGCGGAAAATTTTCCCCGTAAAGCGTCGAAGATAGATCTTTTCCCGAAAGAGCTTATTTTGCCCCTTTATCCGAGCGATACGGTTGTCTTCGCTTTCTTTGGAAAAGGGTGCGTTACTCGGTAACCGATTCGGTGCGATTCCACCTGACTTAAAAAATCAGTCCGCATCAAGATTCCGTGCTCGACGCGAGACATCTCGGAGGAAATCTAATAACAATTTGGGTATATCGTGAAAACTTCGCTGTAAGTCGTCAGGACTTTATTGCCAATACGAGAATACTCTTGGATGACGATTAAAATGATGTGCTCAATTACGTTAATCGCTTTCTCTACTTCAACCGCTTCGGAATGTATCATCTGTCCTTTTAAAATCACCTATCTTTCATATGTAATTTTTCCTTCTTCATTTTGTCATTAAAGAAGACGATGAAATCTGTATTGATATAATTGAGTATAATATTGAACAACCTAATATAAAAATCCAAATAAAATCGGCCCAGAAAGATTCGAGAGTACCGAGAACATGCAACCTTACATTTTCATGTATAATAGTATAGTGTGCCATTATCGTACGGTCTATATTGGTAGTGTGAAAATAAAAAAAAGTTCAAATATAAGTTCAGAAAGCATATACAATGACTGCACTGTTAAAAAGAATACATAAAATTCATACACTTTTATTATATAAGGTTGCAGTAAAATTATACATTTGATGTCTTAATTGTGAATTAGTATACATTTATCATACAAGTCTTTGTATATTTACAATTTTATAACACCGTGTTGCAACTTTATGAAATTCCGGAGAAAAATTATAAATTTGATATTTGAGTCATTTAGTACGCATTGTTTGAAAATTGTTTAGATGAGTTTTTAATTTTATCATCGTTTACTTAAGTTGAGTTTTAAAGAAATTTAACCACTTCGGTACGGCGCTCACCGGCCGTCGGCTAAAGTCGACGCTCGGCTGTGTGCGTTCATCTGTGGCTGTCGACTATAGTCGACGCTCGTACCAAAGTGGTTAATCGAAAGATGATAAGTATCAGTGGTACTGACGGAGAAGCATTGTAGAGACATCCTTGAGTCCGAGAAATATTTAAATAATATTTAAAACAACTCCTACAATCGATAGAAAACTCCGGTAGCATCATAGACAACGTACCTGCTACTTTTCCGTGATTTCCGGGTACAATACCACGATAATTGCAGAAAGATTGTTTTCGGCATTTAAGTTATGGCTGTTTCTAAAATCGTCCTCGAACGTGCGTTTGCAGAAAAAATGTTTAATATCAATTACTGATCAACACAAATTTACTACACATATATACTAAATTTATACGCACGTTATACATTTTATTTGAAAATATGTTATAAAACTAGTACACCATGCCTGAATAAAATTTCCAACAAAAGTGTTATTAAATTATAATATTTTTTATAAAAGTGTATGTCGGCCTAAAAATAAACCTTGGATTACGGTACGCTGTGTCGAAGTGCCGAATCGATGGGCAGGTCCTCCGATTTCTAGGAGACACCACTCCGTTACCCGGTAACGAATCCGACGATATCTTGTAATGCCGGCGTTAACTCACGAGGGGAGCACAATCGGATCGCGCCATGCCGTCCCGTAGAGCGTGGCCACTGCGTGGCAACGGATTTTCCGCCCATCCTCCCGTCTCTGGTGCATCTTTTATCCGGGATTTATCGGCCCCGCTAGAGGCCTAGAGGGCTAGAGACGCGCGTTCAGAGGAGCACCGGGTGCTGCTCCTGGCGCCAAGGAGAGGGAAAAAAAGACGGGCGCGACTTTCCTCGTGGGCAACGCATGCCATTTTCTCGCTCACGGGGATTCAGCCACGCGTCCTACGTTACTGAAAGGAATTACACCGCCAATGATCCGGAAGCTGTGAGGTGGCTGCCAGATCGATTACAATGACCCCCCTCCGGACGCGGCACCTTACACGGCATTCTGTAACGCGAGATCCGACCTCGTCGACGAGGTCCCTCCACTTGGTGCACGCCTTGCCCCGGAGATGCGGAAAATGGACCAGAGCCCGACGGATGCTGCGGTTTATCGGCGGAGATAATCGCTGGGAAGGATGAACTCGGCTATTTGGGCCATTGGTTCTTTCTTAAGGGGATCGTATGGGATGGTCTGATCCTTTTCCATGATCCCAGTTTCATTTCAGAGCTGGAAGTCAACAATGTGGAAAAGTCAATGGACGGGGCCACTCGGGAGCTGAGGTCTTACTAGTAGATTAAATGTTGAATCTTTTAAGAACTCGTAATGAATCGCGGTTTGTTATCGTACCGCGGGAAATTACTGCTCACTTCGTTGGTCATTTGTTCCGAAAGAGGGATTTATGTATTACAGGGTAGCGGGAGAGAAGGTACATGTGATAAGATAAAGATGTGCTTTATTACAATTTTTAGAGACAGACCTTCAGGGGGTTTTAACCTACTTCTAAAAAAGGGGGAAGTTTTCAATTCGACGCGTATACATCTATGAATGTATGTACGTACGTATGTAGTTTTTGGGTATGTTCGTTCTTAATTCTGGAATGCGTGTACCGATTTGGACGATGCTTTTTTTTTGTTTCAAAGAGGACGCTTTCCTAGTGGTCCCGTTTAAATTTCATTAGGATCCGAAGACAGACAATGATCATTCTGAACGTTTAACAGTATACGCACCGTGATTGGGCTTATCTATTAAGGCACGTGAACAGTTCATACTCAGTTCATGTCACGTAACATACTAGAGCTGGTGACGAAGAAAAACTTTGTGAATCAATTTTTGAGGCCCCAGAAAATATTGAAATGAAAATATTAAAAAAATATATACGGGCAAAAAGTGTGAAATAATATTTATCTATCTCGTTTACTTTTATAATAAAAACTTATTGATATTAATCCAAGTCATAATGTTAGGGTAGGTCCTGGTGGCGAGGGTGACAGAAGGGTAGAAACTTGTAGCTCTCTCCCTGTGCTCCAGGCTGAGGCCAAAATTTCAGCAACAGGTTGCCTTTCGATTCACCACACCCCCTTTACTATAATGACAAATGGGTGCGGTATCGTAGCGCGGGGGTTGAATGAGGAACAGTAGGGGTTCCCCTGAAACTCTAGAAGGACTAAATTACATGCGTGCCTTGCATGACGATGGCAATCATGCATTAACGCTGCAGGGGACAATCCCCACTTACAGCTCCAAATACCACCCCATTATACTAGAAATAAATAGAGCCTACACCCGAGGGTCGCGTTAAAAAGAGGAGACAGCTCTTTTATCCACCTGAGCTCTTATATTTTTTTTTATGAGAACATTGAATTGATTTGAAACTCCGCGAAAGTCTACATTGGTAACTAATCCTGTCCCCTCCCTGCACTTATCAGCATTGTTGTTCATTCATATTTTGTTATATAATTTTGGTATATAAATGTAGTCATTTCCTTACACAATTTGCCAAAATCATAACGCGATGTTATAAAATTATAGTTTCATTAAAAAATTTGTAACAAATGTGCACCAATTCATTTGTAAGGCATCGAATTTATAATTTTACTGTAACTGTGTGTACTAATAGTATAGGAAATTTAAGTGTATTTTTAACAGGGTACCGAAAAATAATTTCTACATGGTTTAGGGAGAGATCGTATTTCGTGGTTACGGCGGTGATGTTTTTTTCTTTCGCTCTGAATTGCTCTTGATGGGGGGCGACGTCTGGCCGGAGCCATCCCCCGGTCTCACGTGGTGGCCAAGAACCTCCTCGTGGTCCTTCGGCGGGCATCCTCGCATGTAGGAGTCGATTTTCGGAGGATCCCGCGTCGCGTTGCCCATGGGAAAGCAAGCAGAGGTGGCTGCGCCATGGGCCGCAACCCCACACGTGGCCTTGGTATGCGCAAGTGGGACATTTATACCGAAAGTGTATGAATTTTATGAATATTTTTAACAATATACCAAAAGATGATTCCTGTAAGTTTAGAGAAATCGTGTTTCGTTGGTTCGTCCGTAACCTTTTATTCTTCACGGAGAAGACAAGTTGGTTACGATTAGTATAACAATATATTTATGGTGATATGGAAATGGCATTTGAACGGTCCATGATTTATGAAACTTTTATCTGCAAGTGGGACGTTTATACCGAAAGTGTATGAATTTTATGAATATTTTTAACAAGATACCGAAAAATGATTCCTGTAAATTTAGAGAAATCGTGTTTCGTTGGTTCGTCCGTAACGTTTTACCCTTCACGGAGAAGACAAGCTGGTTACGATTACTATAGCGACATAATTAAGGTGATATGGAAGTGGCATTTGAACGGTCCATGGTTTATGAAACTTGTATCTGCAAGTGGGACGTTTATACCGAAAGTGTATGAGTATTATGAATATTTTTAACAAGAAACCGAAAAATGATTCCTGTAAGTTTAGAGAAATCGTGTTTAGTTGTTTCGTCGGCAACGTTTTTCAATTTACGGAGAAAACAAGCTGGTTGCAATTACTATAGCGACATAGTTAAGGTGATATGAAAGTGGCATTTGAACGGTTCATGATTTATAAAACTTTTATTCGAATTGAGTGTACCAAAATGAAATTGTATCACATGAATAGAGAAGCTTCAATGAAGATTCTGACATTCGTGAAATTTAATTTTTTATGCAAATATAAAAGAGTCAAATTTAATGGGTGTTAGAACCTTCCTAAGGGTCATAATATTCTCGTAATGAAACATTAAACGACTTGCCACACTTAGTTCGGAAAAAGATATAAACGAGTCCTCGCAGATCATTTCCTTCTATTTCCATACCTTAAAATATTGCGGTAATTTGAATCATACAAACGGTGAAACTAACTATATAGAATTGTAAAGAAGATAATCTTGCCAATAGTTGCTGCACCCATGGCGCTGCGCTAGAAAGTTGCAGTAAGGATTACCATTTCAAATGATGACATTAATTACGTAAAGAAGTCGTGATAAGCGTAATGTTACAAAAACACGAATCACGTAGTTACCTCGACTAAACGGTGAAGTAGCCTTTACTTTATTCTGTATACTATGTTACGCTAATTGCCACAACCTCCTGTCAATATTATCCATTATATTGCCTTGCAACATGATTACAGTACAGTATAACATAATATACGTCATATAATATACATATATATTACAACGTATAATACGTCTCTAGTTTTCTACGCGAGCGCAAAGTATATACGCCCTTCTATTTCTAAATAGAAAGTAATAAGTCCAATTAGAAATTTGCTATTAAACAGGGTTAAGTGAAAAGAACGTTGAATCCTTAAAAACATTGATGCGTTCACGTGTACGCTAAAAGACGTTTATAACCTAGCGGATATACATATATCGGGCATCTGCGGCACCCGCCATATGTGGAACGTACAATTCTAAACAATTAGAACGCAAGCGGCAAATTAATTTATTGTTCCCTACAAATATTTACATGTTTACGTGTGTGCTAAAAGACGTTTACAATCCAGCGGATGGCACATATCCCGCATCTGCGGCATCCTTCATATTGGAGACCTAATTCACTGGTTTCCTTCGATTTTCTACGATATAAACTACACAGTTTACATAATATACTCGAGAAGCCTCAAAAAACGGGAAATTACCAAACCCTGGTTACGGTCATCCTGATGGTGGTTTTTCGGATTAGCCTTTTTTAATTTTTTTTTTAACGTGAGTTCGCTTTGAACTTCTCTTGAGGGGGCGATGTCCTACCGAGGTCATCCCTCTGTCTCACCCGGTGGCCAGGAATCTCCTCGTGGTTCTTCGGTGACCATCTTTGCCTGTAGGAGTCGATTTTCGGGAGAATCCCGCGTCGCGACGCGTTGACACTGGGAAAGCAAGCAGAAGCGGCGGCGCCGTGGGCCACAACCCCACACGTGGCCCTGGCATACGCAAGTGGGACATGTGTTTTCCAGCCTCCTGCAGAGATTGCTCCACGGGTCCACCGTGGAGCACACCCCACCACGAGATGCCGATACCACCGTCGAATCGTGTCGAATCTCGACTTCTCTTGGTACACCGTGATTCACCGTGCACTTTGTCGAGTGATCTAATGTCCAAGCATGACCGGGATCATGCGCTCATAAAGCATTACGTTTTTACCCAGCTCGGGGGTATTATTACGTTTCCCAGAAATGTATTAGGTCCATGGTTGTTATTTTGGAGAAAGGACAAATCAGAAGCTAAAGTAGGGTCTTTAGTTGGACGGATGAGACACGGATCGCATCGGCAACCCGTGAGGTGAAGGTTTTTTTCGGTACGTCTTTTTAATCCGACGATCAAGCGAAGTAGAAAGAGAAAAGGACGGAAAAATTGAAGGATAACGGAAAAGAACGCGTTTCCGGAACACTGGATCATATAATGGGCGGCGTTTTCTTGCGACGTGACCTTTCGGAGCTTTTTTATCTAATTCGTCTCTTTCTCAGATGTGTAACCCATCCGTCGTAGTTTTGCGATACAGTGCTGTCTTGTACTCTGTTTCTACGATGTGGAACTCGTCTGTCAATTTTGCGACATTATGTTTAATTTGTATTTGATGATTTCTGTGTGTGTGTATATATATAGAAATTTTCATACATAATATCTATGATGAATCTATAGGTAGGACGTGCTGGGGTTGGAGAAAGGTTTTCTCCCACGGTCGTAGGGGAATGAGAAAAATAAACTCTTGCGACGTGTGTCGGAGCTGTACTTTTTCACATTAAAATATATAACGGCCGCCCAACTGGGCAAAAATATTACTCCAATCGTCGTCTTCGGGGACGGACCTTAATCATTTTGACTTGATATATGTCGAAGTCGATCGAGTTCGATTTCTTTAGAGGCCGACCTCAACCCTTCGATCTCGATCGTGCCTTGCCTCGATCGCAACACCTGCGGCCAGTCAATCATTCTTATCAAACGCGTTTAAAATCTTTCGGACGTTCAAATAGAAAATGAATGCAAAAGTTGCGAGATGTCATATTAGGTCACAATTAGAAGATCCAAGATTAATTAGAAGCTCCCGTGGACGTATCACTAGATTACCGAGGGGTATCATCGGACAGCAAACCGGACGTCGCGGTAGGTTTATATCTCTTGAAAACGTGAATAAGTATAATATGCCGTCATTTCAGTAAATATTAGCCTGTCTCTGTAGACAGTTACTGGGCAACATAAAACGACTGTGTGCATATGATTTTGATTTACTCCGCACTTGACTTCAACGCGAGGGGCGCGTGTCGAGTTTCTTAAATAAAATGAAAATCCGCATTTCCCACATTTTTTGCGTCAATCATGCGGGGCACCCCAAATCGAAATTAACTATCTTAATTAAACCTCGAAATCCAACTTAACACATTTTAAATCCTCTGTTCTTTTGATCATTTATAGTTTGTCTATCGAAGTTTCACTTCCGTTTAGTACACTAAGAACCTTAGAATTAATTGTTCTCGTTAAATTCTCCAAAGCCCCGGAATGTTTCAATTGAATCGAAACTTAAAATCTCAAAATAGAATGGTTGTTCCAGTATATACGAGTTTGATCTGAAAATCTTCAAACTATCTGTCATTGGAGATCAACGTAGAGAATGGAAATTGGTAACCCAGGGTCTTGATTTTCCTTCATATAAATTAAAATCTATTAAAAATATCAGTTAATTGCATTCTTGCATGGAAACAAAAAGAGAGTAAAATCTTAAATATATGTAAAACATCATATTAAAATTTGTCAGTAATTTATGTAGAATTCTATTTCTAGAGTCAGTGGTGAGAGAAGATCCAGAGGACGAGACGAGGCTCGATCGAATGTTTAAAAACTGAGGTTTTCACGGCATAGTCGAGTCTCGCTCCAATTAGACGTCTGCCCTACAAAAACGGACATAAATGTATATATTTGAAGTTCAAACGAGGCTAATTTTGCTTACGCTCCCCTGCTTTAAATTCTTGTATTATACTCCGCACCCTTACGCGCGTCCTTGAAGCTTTTACGAGGTAAAAATGGTCGATTTGGGGCGTGGAGTATAGGCAAATATTAGGAATTCCTGGGCGAATCTTGGCTTTTCTTCCCCTTATCTCGACGTCGGTTCTGCGGTCCGATGATACCGCGAGCGGGGTGTGCGTACGTGCGAGCATCTCTTGCGTCCACGCACGCAGGATAATTGATGGCCCGTGTAGTGCCCCCTCGCTGCCGGTAGGTGTGTCGCTCGTGGATTATGGAAGTGCGGTAGGAAGGACCGGGGAGAGGGAACGAGGCACACGTCACTTACTTGAAAGCACGTGCTCCGGTTTCTGGCGGCTGCTCCTGCGCAGCCTCAGCCTCGGACGCAAGCTGGTGCCGGTTAAATTTAGCCCCGAAGCTTGACTTCGCCGTGTCATAGGACAAAGAGTACGAAGCGGTTGCGCCGGTGCTCCGGGCACGCCTTGGCTCGCGCCACGGCAAAATTTCCATCCGGTGACGAGCGCCGCGATTCCGCCCCTTCGGGCTCTTTCGGGCCCCCGGGGTCCTCTTTGCGGCGAGCCGGTCTCACCCTCGACTCCGAACTCCCGACGTCGTTCCAACATGACTATGTTTCTTGGACCGGCACGCTCCCTTGGTCTTCTTGGACTTCTTTCTCCTGGACCAGAGTAGAAATTTGAATCCTACACAAAGCAAAAAAGTGACTCCAGAGAAAAGATATCCTTAGGTCGAATTTACTGACTGCTATCAACAAGATAAGGTCAAGCAAAGTTAAGGAAAATTGGAAACGATACTCAATTATCTTAAGTTCATCCCTTGGTCGGCGCGCGATGACTTCTTTCTCCTGGACCCAAGTCGAAATTTTAATCCTACACAAAGCGAATAAGTGACTCCAGAGAAAATATATCCTTGGGTTGAATTTACTGAATGCTATCAACAAAATAAGATCAAGCAAAGTTCAGGCAAATTAGAAACGATACTCAATTATCTTAAGTTCATCCTTTGGTCGGCGCGCGATGACTTCTTTCTCCTGGACCTGAGTCGAAATTGTAATCCTATACAAAGCGAAAAAGTTACTCCAGAGAAAAGATATCCTTAGATCGAATTTACTAAATGCTATCAACAAGATAAGATGAAGCGAAGTTCGCGTAAATTAGAAACGATACTCAATTATCTTAAGTTCAGATTCGTTAAGTCCGATTGACTCGTTTGTTACGTTTTTGTGCATAAAAGTGTTACGAAAAATAGTTGATTCCTTGCAAAAGGTGAAAGACTTAATAACATTCTTGTAACAAACTAGAATTTTGTACAATTTTCCAGTCTTAGTTCTCAAAGCCCTATCAAACAACATTTATTTGCCGTTAATTGGACTATTTGATAATCAAAATGAATTGGAATAAAATTCCTCTACGCGTTGTCTTAACAAGTACATTTTACTTTTACATTCTAATCTAAAGTCATCTTTTATACTAGTAAGATAACTGTAAGCAGAGATCAATTGTAAAAAATTAAAATTCATTGGTGTTAATTTTTTTTATCTAAAGTAGGGCGCAACGAGACCAAAGTAGGTCTTTGAAATTGCTCAACATGACGTAGTGGATTATAGAGGCTTAAAATAGGATGTAATTTGACATAAGATGAACATAAGAGAATCAAGGTCTGATTTCAAAAACCATCGACTTAATTTGATGTAAAACTCGTGAAGAACTAAAGTAGAGCTCCATTTGTATTAAATAAGGTGCGCATAGCTGGCACCCCCACCTTTACAAAATTCAAATTTCTCTATCTTAACATGTGCTCTTTATGTGCTAATTATGTGCTAGACTCGCAATAGGATGTACAAGGTCGATAGTGGAACGCGAAGAGTGAAGTATGACCAAAAAAGGTCTTTGGTTATGCAGGTTAAAGTAAGACTAAAATTTCAATTTGGGCGGCTAGAAATTAGGAATTGGACAAGTCCCTGGGAGAGCTTGGTCCAATGAAAGTCTATGAGTAGTTTCCATGGAGGATGAGTGGTCGATTGATGGTCTGGACCTAGTTTGCCCATTGAAAGTGATATCGGGTTCTTGAAGCTCGTTCGAGGATGCACGAGATGTAAGTTAGTCTGGCTTCCGATAGACTTGATCTAAAGAATGGGCCTGAGGATGATGACTTTATGTAGGTCTACCTAAGAGGGAATTATTCTTGAATATCCAAGAAAAATGTATATTAGATGTACCGTAAAAAATAGCCGAGATTATAAGTAACGAAAAGCTTTATAGGGAGAACAAGTCTACGACAATTGTCAATTGACTTGTTTTCCACAGTCTAGACGTCGCCAGGAGACTAATATTCAACATTCTAGGGAGAAGCGTGTACACGTGCAGTATGTTGCGGCGTGTCATAACGGAGATGCGAAATTCTGAAGAATCTTCCAAGGCGTTTAAAATCTCCTGAACTTGTAAGGAGACTTTTCTTTTGTCATGCCAATCGATTTTCGATCGTCCGATTTACTTTATTTAGATGCATTTCAGGTACTAAATGTTATTGCCAAGTGCAACCACAACGTCCTAGAATTGAATGACTGAACAGATAACGGCGGGGATCGGACATTATTCTTGTATAACTGTTAATTGTTAAGGAATTTCTAGGGTATTGCGAAGTACGTATGCGTGGCCTCTGAAAATTCAACGTGGGGGATTTTAACTTTGCTGAGCCACGTGACAGATATATTCTTTAATCAGGTTGTGCTCTTGATATTCTATAATCAGCTTATAAGGCCACGGTAATATTAATAAAGAATTTTTATATTGTTAAAAGCTCGTAAAATCGTTTGGTTTTTCGCAACCATGAATTCCTTTTTTTAATAATGTACCTTCATTGGAAATGTCATAAGCACAGCACCCTCTCTGCTAGATTCAGTTCAAATTCCCTTTTGTTAGATGCATTTTTAGCGTTACATGAAACGGTAGGATAAAAGAAGCATTGCGGATCGCGGTACTAAATACTACCCTGGGACCCAGGTTATATACATAACGCGATAATATGTCATGTATGATGTTATGTCATAATTCCGGGTACATAATTACTTATCTCTTCTGTTGACATTTCTAAGAGAATTTAATTGAAGCGTTCATTTGGCGGATCCATTCGCAGGTCACTCACTCGGCTTAATTCGTCCCGAACCTTTTTCCGTTATATAAATTATTCCCGAGTTACATAAAGCAGAGATATTTTACGATACCAAGTACACAAATAGCACGACACTAGATAATAGGACAAGGTTTGCCGTTAAAACATCACGTTACACCCTTAGGTACATATGGATACATAATTACCCGTGTTCGAGTGTTCGAATCGCACATCGAGATGTCTCTGATAATAATGGAAGAAATTTAAGCACGCTTGTTGTTTCAATTTACGAACCTCGGTATGACGTTATCGATATCTCAGAAATAGCGGACGAACCCACGAGAACCGCGGTTACGACGCTCGAGGGAGTCTCTTCTTCCCGAATTGTCGACGCAAACCGTCACCGGGATATTGTCTTCGGTAGAACAGGGCACTCTTGTTATTGGAACAATTGTGCCGACGGTTCATTCAAGCAATGAGTAATTCGATAATAATCTGGACTTCCACGATTGACGGACAAATTAGTACGGCACCTGTCGAGCGAGGTGTGGCCGTTATGGTTGGTCGTTTACGGCCTAATGTCTCTCCGATTGGGGATGATTTAGCCAAATTTGATGGTACTCGAGGTAAATAATTGTCAAGAGTGTACGCTTTAGCAGGGGCGTATCGACACACGTGACGCGGGTACACGCCACGTTGGGGATGTTAGCCCTCCTGGACCGCGTGGCAGAAACGCGGACCGGCCGGCTGCGCCGTCAGCTGCCGACAGATTTATCGAGTGGCACGTGCCGATCCGGAGCAATGTCGCCGTACGTTCTTCTTTTTCTTCCGCGCCTTCGGGGAAGGGAAAAAGAGAGCCAATAAACCGGAGCTCGCGATGTCTGACGAATGCCGAAACTAACGCGCGGGAGGGTCGCCTAGCGACTTCATCTCCGCTTCGATCTCTTCCTAATGAACTTCCGCTAAGTCTTGTCGCGTTCGGCGCAAGACGTTTCGCTGCACGAGCAAATAGCAAGTGCCTCTTGGAAAATAGGACTCGGTATTTATGATCACCGATAACGGCCTTTGGGGTTCCGCCCTTGTCCTAGGAACCGCAGTCATTGCCAGGGTTCGCGACTCGGTCAGCGAAAAAAGCATTTTACCTCTTTCGTTTAGTTACGATTCGTCCTTCATGGTGGAGCTGGGAAGGAAGCAACGTTTTCGGGAATTATGGGCGTTCAGAATTCAACGAATTTCCGCACTTCATGATTTTTCGCCAGGGGAAGACGTTTAAGGTGATATGAAAGTCTGATGTATACGTACCAAAAAGTGAAAATATTTATAATACTTTTCTCCAAACTGGGTGCACCAAATTATCGAAAACTTTAACGCGTGATTATGGAGGCTCTAAGGAAGAATGCGCTGTCTGAGAAATTTCATTTCTCGAAAAAAGAAAAATCTTTTTTGGTCCTCGTCCGAGATAAGTACAACATTTTTTATCATCCATCATCACGTGTTAGAGTTTCAGATAATTCGGTGCACCCACTTTGGAGAAAAGTTTCATAAATATTTTGACTTTGTTATGTACATATCAAACCGTCATGTCATCTTAACCACACGAACAAATTCCAAGTTGGAAATCAGAGCCTGGTATTTGTAATCACCGATCATTGTTTTCGGTGTTCTCTCCTTGGTAGAGTAGTGCCTCAGAATTGCAGACATTTTTTATCATCCATAATCACGTGTCAGAGTTTCAGATAATTCGGTGCACCCACTTTGGAGAGAAGTTTCATAAATATTTTGACTTTGTTATGTACATATCAAACTCTCATGTCACCTTAACCACGCGAAGAAATTGCAAGTTACCCTCTTGGAAAGCAAAGCCTGGTATTTGTAATCACCGATCATTGTTTTCGGTGTTCTCTCCTTGGTAGAGCAGTGCCTGAGAATTGCAGACATTCGCGGTTCAACGAGACGGAAAGTTGTTTTACCCCTTTTGTTTAGTAAAGATCCGTCATTAATGATGCAACTAGGGGGGACATAATGTTATCGAAATTACGGGCGTTTAGAATTCGTCGAGTTGTGCGTTTAACCGCGAAAAGGGGCGCTGGCCATTAATGTGTGACGGACCGAATTTCCGAGGGAGGGTTACAACAATGTGGATCACATTTAGGGATTGATGGTGCAAAACCCGATTACCCGGCTTGGTTATTTTAGGAGGGATCTCGAGGCACGTCCAATTCGCTTATTTCTCGACGTAAGACGTTGGGCCGATGCGACTTCCTCATAAAGAATTGACCGGCGCGCCGGCACCGCGGCCAGATTTCACAGTAATAACCGGATAATTGCGGAAGATTCGACGTTGCGAACGGTTGTCTAATGCCATCGGCTTCTCGCTCGGAATCGTCTTAAAAATTCAACCACACCTCCGTCTTCGACTCGGTCTTCCGAGGTTTAAATAACCTATCGACGTTCGGTAATATCTATCCTGATTCCGTGTCAGGCTCGGTCTTGTCAGTTAATCTCTGGGACGAACCGATATTAACGTACCTGGCGTTAATCCTGGAGTCGAGATGGTCCTGGTGCCCTTATCGCGCGTATCATTCATTTTCTCAGAATTCCCTCGAGTCGAAATTTTCATCCTACTTAGAGCCTCTAATTCTAGGCCTTAAGGTGATGTGAAAGTGACATCGAAGAGGTCTCGTTTATGAAACTTATCTCCAAACCGGGTGAACTGAATCGATGCAAACTTTGCAACATAAATGTGGAGGGTATAAGGAAGGTCCTGAAACTCATGAAATTTTCACTTTTTTTAAAACTTGTTCATAGATATTTTTTTAATTTGTTATAAAAAGTGAAATTTTATGAGGGTTAGGACCTTCCTTATAGCCTCCACATTTAAATTGAAAAGTTTGAAACGATTCGGCACATCCAGTTCGGAGGAAAGCTTCATGAACGATTGACCATTCGGATGCCACTTTTATATCCCCTTAAATGGGGTTGGAGGTAATATTAAGAAGGGTAACTTCTGCATAACCAAGGTCCTACTTTGGACCTTAAAAGCGGCAGATATTTCCATTTTTTCTACGCTTAGGTTTAAGGTAGACAATTCTCATTAAGTGGGACATACAAGGTCGATAAGTACATCAAAAGTGAAACGGGATCAAAAGAGTGCTTACTTAGGGGAACGCAGGTTCAAAATAGGGTTAAAATTTCAACTCGGCCCTCGTTTGCACAGAATCTTAACCCCT